CAGTACATACGATCCACCAACCTTATGGCTCAACGAAAAGGAGATCTATCGATAGTGCATTGACTGTTCTGTGCACGAACTTACCGGAATCAGCAGCTATCGCATTGTAAAGTAACTTATCCGACGACCTAAACCAATGGGAATCAGCGTGCTTTCTGATGAATGTAAAAGCCAAAACCACAAACTAAGCAAGAGTTCCTCGTCCCCCAAACTCTGTACGCTTTGGCCAGCCCAGATTAATTAGAGGAACACTAGAATCCTCAACTGATGTGGGGAACGTTCTGCTCTCCACAAACGCGCTGCAACATGGATCGTGTGCGATATGTATCTAACTTGACGTTCCGTGGAACATGCGACAGTCGAAACGAAATTACGCAGAAGGACCCAGCAAGTCTGATCGACGAAACACTATCTTCTTCCATTGTGTGCCAGAGCTTCCTTCAAACGATAGTCAAGGGGCCGGAAATCACAATATAGAACAATGGTGTTTCATCCGCAAAACCCTTTCATTGGATACCGGTGTGGCGCGATCGCAAAAAAGGTTACATTTCTCGACAAAGTACACAGGATGCGGCCTGAGAATCCTAAAACTCGTGGTTCAATCCGAGCAAGCAGCGACGGATGTGTTATATAATTGGTGAAAAAAGCTTTCCATCGGAACTACAGGTGCTTTGCAACGTCCAGTTACGAAATCATCTGCAAAAGCGGACGTACCGGTGACGATTACTCCTTTACTGGCTGCTGCTGTAAATCTAGACGATGGTTGAGACGTGCCTTGGCCAGAGCAAGGTATGGAAGTAGTAGCATTATCTCATTAAATAAACGAATAATGGCCGAACTCACATCGGTCGGTACTCCCACACACATCACTTCCTTGCCCCCTGTGGTCTACAAGGTATGAATAAACTAGCATGCCTGTACACAAATGCTCAGAGCCTCCTTAATATGCTGGCCGAACTAAAGTATTGCCAGGTTTCCCAGAAATATGATAGCATCGGAATCCCGTAGACGTAGTTACACACTGAAATTGCGCAATCTGGTATGCCACTTATTCGGAACGACAGACTGACAAAACCAGGAGGCGTTATTCTATATTTCCAAAAAGACTTTTAGTGCGAGGTCATGTAGGATTCAGATTCGCTGACTGCTGATTCGTTTTGATGCCGCCTGCAGTTATGAGGCAGCGTCACTTGCTTTATAGCCTTGGTGTACCGTCCCCCCCCCCCGAACACTACATCTGAAACGGATTACCAAATTGTGACTGCACTACAGCAAACCCTAAAAGGAAGATACATCTTGACCATGGATTATTTCAATGTGCATTGTATAGAAACTCCTACAACTAGCGGAGAACAATAGTGAAGAGATCTGCAGGAGCTCGTAACCAGTGTTCCACTTTATAATCATGTCATTTCACCCACTCGGTCCAGAACAGGCCGTCTGTGCTTGGTCTTGTGGTTACAAATGAAGAACAGCATCTGAGTGATGGTTTGGTTGTAGGCTGCCCGTTAGGTTACAGTGATCATGCAGTTATTAGTTGCAACTGCATCTGATGTGCAGAAAACCGAGTTGCGGACCATGAGACGGCACGAACCACCACATGCCACGACCGGTTAATCCACCTTTTCAGTGCCACTACCTGGTTGTTCCTTTCCAAAGACCCCACGGATGTCGCCTGTCTCGAGATGGTAAACAATTTCAATCGGACGGTTACGGATGCTGCAGTGACAAAAGTTTGCAAACGTCTTGAAACGGTTACTTACGTAAAGAGCAGAACTCGAAAATTACTGATAGTACGCAACGCATCTGGGCGAGAGTAGAGATTATCCCCAACACTAGAAAGCTAGGATAACTATGTAGCCCAAAGAAAACAATGTACTAAACTGCTCAGCAAGGACAATGCCACACAATGGCAGAACATGACAAAAACCTTCATCGCCAATCAAAAACTGCAGTAGAAGCACGTCAATGGTCTACGGAAGGTGAGGCAAGGAATTCCGCCACTCACAACGGCTGATGGTCTAACAAGAAAGCCTAGGGAAGCAGCAAACGCGCTGCAGATGTTCCAGCTTTTATCCCCCCCTCCGCCGGGAAGCACTCGCATCTCCTCTACCATTGAAGCTGTCTTTCCGAAGCTTATGACTAGGTGAGCGCAATTCCCTGGGTGTCGATACTATTCGCCCAGAGGCAATTGGAGCAGCAACAATTCAACTGGCAGATCCACTGGCTCAGTTCTTCCAGCGCTGCTTAGACCAGAACTAACTTTCTGCTATGCGGAAGCTTCGAACAATAATATCCAAACCAAAGATAGAAGCAGAACCTCAACTTAAAACTACCGTTCAGTTTTCCTTCTCTCTATACTGTCCAAGGTAATGGAATCCATCATAGCCGATGGTGGGCTATTTGGAAAACGCCACCCTTATTATTTCTGCACAACACGGTTTCCATCGAAATCGATCGTGCATAACGAATTTGCTTATAGCACGGAGTAGCTGGACACCGTCAGCTGACGCTGGAGAGGATGTTGATTTGACCTCCCTGGATTTCTTGCAAACATTAGACCATCTAGGTCATCCGATACTCCTTTCCAAGCTACAGCGTTACGGGATCGGTGAACTTCTTCTAAGCTGGTTCGCCAACTATCTCCTTCAGCAGCAATTGGTGGTCAGGTTTCGGAGCTCCTTCTTTGACCCCATACAATATGAGTGTGGTGAGCCTCAACGCTCGGTGCGAAGTGCCCCATTGTTTTTGGTATTTATCAATGACCTCACACAGGTAAGTACATCTAACTTCCTGCTGTTTGCCGATGATGTCTAGATTTGGGTCAAGTTTCAGGGGAATACTGACCAGTAACTGCTTCGGAAGAATCTAGACACGGTACATCAGTGGTCCGTCCAAAATTCACTGCCATTCAATTTGAGTAACTGCAAGGTTCTCTTCATGCGACACCAGAGCAACCACGGTGAAGGGATCGGAAAGCATGTTCTGCAACTAGCTGCCACCGTATGTGATTTGGGCGTACCGGTTCAAGATTACCTGGATTGTTCCAGATAATCCGCGAAAGACTCCACAACTGGTAACCAACATGTGGGCCTGTTAAGACGGGTGTTCGGACAAATAGATCGCTCTATTTTCCGGCAGATGCTTAGTGCGTATATTCGTCCTCATGTCAAATGTGCAATTCTAGCCTGGCACCCATGGCTAAAGCACGATATCAGTGCACTGGAGCCGGTCCAACATCGAGCATCAAAGTACGTTGTTGGAATGCATCATCTTCCATAAGAGGAGAGGCTGGAACGATTGGGGGTATACAACAAACGTTACCGCCGCTTAAGAAGTGACTTGATAATGGTGCACTTAATTCTGAACGATCCACATCATGTGTACCGTTACTGTAACTCAGCAATAATACCAAGCTGAGAGGTCACGCACTAAAATTGGCGGAATAGTACAGCCGCATGGATTGCCGCAGGCACTTCCTTTCCGTCCGCTTTTGTCACCCGTGGAATGTTCTTCCCGAATCGGTCATTTCTGAACCAGCACTATTCAGATTTAAAAGGCGTGTGGATTACTCACTTACACTTTGTTACCTAGTACTGCATCTCCATCCCACTCCTGGAAGCTACTTTTCATTTATTTGCTTACAGAAGAGAAGTAGGGGAGTGGTATGGCATAGATGGAAATTGGTCACATTTATACTCACTCAGACCGCTATCACACACCTGGAAAAGCACTGTAAGCGCATTTCATCCGTTCGGGAATCGTCAGCAGTGTGCATTCCATCGGCCCCTGGTAGGGCTCGAACCCGCAAGTCGACTGTTGCCAGTCCGTGGTTGAGACCACTGAGCTACGGGGACGGCAAAGATCATCGTAAATAAATTACTAGATGTTATATAGCGGCGCTCACTATCCACTGACTTGCAGGTTACTGCCGCGCAGAGGATAGGGTAGCCCCTCACCAAGCGACGAACTTACCAATTTGCTGTTCCGTGTTTGTGCTGTGAAACTACACGGATTGCCGGACTACAGAGGAGCAAAGATAAGTCCCTCTTTTAAACGGAAATAAAGCACTGCTTTTTTATTTTTGATAACCCTATAAAATCATCAAACAAGACACGTAAACCATTGATTGGTAGTCCGTATAAATTTATTGTTCATTGTTCACAGTCGATCAGTTGTACCGCACTTTTGGTGGTAGGCAAATGGGTCTTTCCCTAGCTGGATTCGTGCATGGGTACCAACCGCGCCACATACTGTATAGCCTGGAGCATCTTTGAAGTATTATGATTCTCGGACCTAAAGCCGTTTAACTGTCCAAATCCATCCTGTCTGCTAGATCGTTTCTCCCCAGTTATGGCAACCCAATTGCCAAGCTCAGTGAGCATGTAAACACTTTAACAAGCAACTGTAACTACCACTGTTTCCAACGATTTTCCTTAAAGAATTGTGTGTTTCATTCTTATCTGCAGAAACCACTTACTTCATGACGAATGAACGAAACCGATTCCCATCAGCAAATCAACGACCTCTGCGTCTGTCTCTTTATGGTCCAGCTGGTAACCGTTTCTGGTTGGGATCGTGGCTCGCAGCGGTTACAGGCCCACGATGGACTGAATTAAATCACCCACATTTGTTGTTGCCTCCTCCTTTTTCCATACTTCAAAAGTAGAAATTGAATACATCCGGGAAGGATGCTACGCTACATTTATAACCGTGACGCTGCATCAGAAATAAAAACCAGACGGTGAATGGTTAAAAGTTGGACACTGAGTTTCATAGACATTTCTTCGACCCGTAACCTAGAGGTAACGAGCTTGTCTCGTACTCTTGCAGCGCGAGTTCGAATCCGCGGTATGCTCAGCCCGCGTGCGACTGGTGGTGGTCGCACAGTAGCGAAGCGTCATTACGTCGTACAGATGACACAGTACTTTTATTATTAGGTGTTTCTTCAAATCTGGCATGTATCTATTTTCGTCACCTACCATTGCAATTATTTTCAGAGCTACTAACTCTCAAAGAAAACTGCACCAAGTATTATCCCCAAGAGCACCTGTTCAATCACGTAGTTCCTCAGAAGCAGAAGCCGGATCATCCCGTAGTCCTGAACAGGAATTTCCGAGCACCGCTTCAGTAGTTGCAATTGAAATTCCGAAGATGGATCAGTCTTCCACAGAGATTACTGAAACTCCTTTATCACCCCATGATCAATCATCAGAAAATGAAACCAAAAATTTTACCATTGATTTGGATGTTCCAGAGGAAGGAATCACGGAACCGGTTTCTAAGGTGGATGTTGGAACCCAATATCTCTGCAGCCTTTCAGAGTCCAACGGTGAGTAAGAGATCCAGTGTAATCGTCGTATTTTATGGACGGCAATATTGAAGTTTGTGATCGTCTAGACTTCTTTAAACGTTCGCGTCCGTGCTACGTGGGGAAACCGCATTTTCTATAACGATTCGTTCACTTAGTCGACTCCAGGTGCACATTGGCCCTCGAGGTTTATGGTTTTGATTCAGGTATAACTCGACAGCTTCGTGGAGCAGCGCACATCTATCTTTCGCAAGAAGCATTGCAATTGAATAGGTAGAAATTCGTCACATCTAGACTCACTTAGACAGCCACCACACGCCCGGAAAAGCACTGTACGCGCGTTTCATCCTTTCGAGAATCATCAGCAGTGCGCATTCCATCGTCCCCTGGTAGGGCTCGAACCCGCAACTCGACTGTTGCCAGTCCGTGGTTGAGACCACTGAGCTGGGGGGGGGGGACGACAAAGACCATCGTGAATAAGTTACCAGATGTGATATAGCGGCGCTCACTAACCACTGACTTGCACGTTACTGCCGTGCAGACGATAGGGTGGCCCCTCACCAAGCGACGAATTTCTACCTATACCATTCCACTCCCCTACTAGTTCATTGCAACTGACTTGCGATTCCGGGAATATTGACTGCGTAATGTTTGTTCAAGTCTTTTATTCATATGTTTTGATTTCAAACCCTAACTGGTCAATCAAAATGTATCCCTTGGTAGTTGAAGTTTATACATCTTATCCCTCATGCTCGTAAGCACAGCTTAAGGGATGAATGTTAAGTCATTTTATGACTGTTTTCCCAATGACGCATTCAGTTACCTCAGTCACCGATTATTGGTCGTTCTTTGTCCACTGTTTAGCTGTAAATTATATCAAGTGGTTGCTATGGGTCACCATTTTTCTGATGCGATGAAGGTGAAGCAGTGTAATTTTGACAACACAATAGTGGTGTAGTGTCCGGACTTCGTTTCACTGTCCACCAAGTTCCTACTGGGTTTCATGATATACAATGGGCCCCCAATCACTCAATCATTTTCCGCATTAATCAATGGTATCCTGCATTAATATCACTTTACCTTGCAGATCTGTCTCTTTTCTTTTTCACCGAGGTGCCAGGATAGCTATTTTGTCCAGCTGAAATCATGTTCTGCAACTTCACGCATTGTGATCAAAAATGATAGCTGGTGTTCCCTGCATGTTGTACAACACCCTATCAGCTTCATTAATACTTAGGCATATAGCTCCCGATGAATTAGAATTAAGCGATCTGCCATCCGTTAGTGGTTGGATTTAATCCAGGCCTTCACTTGAGAGGGTAGTCATAATATGGGAATATTAACAGCAACGGAATTCGATTCCGTCAATTGCAATTCCAGCCTGCCTAACCGACAGCTCAGTGGCACGGTTACATTCACCCCCTGCCTTTGTTTGTCACAATTTTGTACCCGTA